TACTTATAAATTACTATCTTTGAATTAAATATTCAATTGTTTATTCTATATATGTCATCTAATAAATGTATAAAACTATATATATTTTGCATATGTACCCCACGTGTAATGTCCTACATTGTTTTAAAAATTTCCGTGTTTGTGTTGTGTGCTCGTGTCAAATATATGTGCCCTCGCTCCTTAAAGAAAACAGTCATAATAAATTTAAACCATGGCACGTACACAAATTGATAAGAAATAAGAGACATTCGGAACATGATTTATTACCTCTAGAAAAGGATTCATTTAATAAAATAAGAACAAGTAAAACATTAGGATTGCTCAACAAGGAATAAGTTATGACCCAACATGGAGTTTGTGACCCCAAACACTTTTATTTGTACCGACTAATATCAAATAGATACTTGTTGGGTCCAAAACAACTAAACATTAAAGATTACAGAATTAAGCTTGGCTTAGAAATTAGTCTCTAAATAAAAATGCATAAAAATACACATTTATACAAAACCTTGCCAATTCATTTTTGGTCACCGAAGTGGAGCATGCCTCAAACCTTGCAACAAGGCAAATGACTTGAAGCACACACCAGCACACTTACATTTCACGATCTTAATCAAACCAATGACTACCAAAGTGGAGAACACATGGGAGAAAGAATGTGGAAGCACAGACAAAAAACACTGGAAACATGAACCAGTACATTAATTCAGAATTCACTTTTGTTTTGATAAGCAAGCAAAGATCCAATAAACTAAAACACAATTGATTCAATTGAGTAAGGAATACCAGGGGTTCTAAAGGACACCAAAATATGAACATTAGGGATCTATTAAACAAATCTCTAAAAAATTATTATTCTGATATAATTAATAAAAAATGAAAAATTTCACACAAAAAATAGTTTGAATTTAGAAGGATAAAAAAATAAAAATTATGAAGACAGAGAAAAACAAGCTACAAACAGTATTTCCTTTATTGTTCACCTTTAAAACTTAACCAAAGTCACAAATAAATTAAAACAAGACAAATTTTGGTGGTTGCAGTCGTGTATGGAACCTCAAAGCCATCGATTTGACCTCAATGTCGTCTATTAATCACTATTCAATTAGTATGACCAATCATGAACCTTGCTAGCCTTAAAGAAAGCTTGCCACTGTCCAATGAAAATCAATGGCACCTATCATACTAATCAAAGCTCAGAAAAAGCAACAAGTGATCTTCTCATACACTACCAATCAATTTACAGTAAGATACTGATCTTTTTTTATTGAATTGGATAGCCATTTCGTAACAAATACCACTCATTTAATGATAACTTGCCATTCATAAGCACTGGATCTTTTAAAGCAGCCATTCATGCCAAGAGCATCCCTTATAACTAATGAGCGTCCATGTATGCCAGACATTTTGGCAAGCTTCTATGAATATTATCAAATTGCTACCAACCCTAGCAATCCACCATCAATGCCAGCAAGCCTCCACAGTTCAATTTTCTTTTCCTTATCTTCGACTTCAGGAGAGAAATGTTAAAATATAATCTGCCATAGTGTTCATTAAGGAAAGAACCAAATGCATTCAGGTGCCGATCACAAAATGCAACTAAAAACTGTGTAAATATATATAGATATATAGTCTATTACAGTTCTTGTGGACCCAACCTATGGTTGTGAACCTGAATTGGAATATTCCAATCTGCGTCTCTTGGCATATTGGTAGGGTTCCTAACATTTGGTGGCATAGAAGGCTCCACGTCTGAGTTTGAGTCACGAAAGGGGCAACTTGGGCCGAGTGTGAGCCATCAAAAGACAAACATTCTGCCAGAGTGAAAGCTACGAAGACAAGAGTGAGAGTCGTTAAGGACAAAAACTAGAAAATGTGGTGATCAATTAAGGTCCTGTGACCCAAACTGTAGCATGGGACACAGGTCGGACTATTCCGGAATGCAAAACATGCATAAAACTTGATCTCACGCATTCACACGCGTTCCATTAGACCTAGGCATTTTGATCAGGTTCCTATGTATACATACACATGTAACTAAATATTAAACTTGAGCTGCACAAAAATCAAGCAAGCAATTTAGAATGACTATTATATCTCAACATGCAAAGAAAGGAATCATCATAACTACCAACCCTGCCAAAACTTGTGACAAAAACGAAAGTGATTCCACCATAAGACATGCACATTATCAAGGCATAACTTACAAATCAAGAACCATGAAAAATGAAACTTAAGCATAGAACAGTAACAAATAAACATTGATGTAACAATTTGAGCAACCCAGATCAGCAAATTCATAAACTCATGCACCACAACATTGAAACAAGAAAATTGAAGAAAAAAATAGTTGAAAAATTAGAGAGAAAACATAAAGATCTTACCTTTTTATCTTCAGACAAAGGCAAGAAGGACTGTTTCTTGGCACTAGCAGACGGTGGGTGAGATGGAGCTAAAGTGACGCCGTTTCCGGTCTGGTTCACCTGTGCTACCCATTAGCAAACCTACCAAACCCTAGTCCTGTATCTCCACTAACATTCAAGCACACAACAATTGGTCTCAATCAAACAAAAACCTAGATAATACACTACAGATATAATATATATATATGTGTGTGTATATATATATTCTGAAAACCCTAATTCAAGGAAATCGGACTAACGTCTAGTTCGAAACTCAAATTTTTCAGAGATTGAAAGAATCAGAGTATAATTTGCATGAATTATGGTCTGCCTCTCTCTTCTCTCTCTCTCTCTCTCTCTCTCTCTCTCCTCCTCTCTCTCTCTCT